GTAGATAATCAGGAAAACGAATGACAACTTGTTACATGGAAATTTGAATAAGGTGTGGGTTCCGCTGGTCACAGGACTGCCTCTAAACAAGAGGCTTGGAGGTTTGATGCCTTTGGTGTCCACATGTAAAAGAAAAAACTTCCTCCTACAGTGTCTTAGAAATATTCATCATGGACTGATTGCAGGAACAACGGCTGCACACTGTATGGAAAGTGTATAGATTTGACAAGCTAAACTGATAAAGAAAAACAAACAAAATATATGTACACCCTCCTCTGACTGTGTTTAATGAATTTGGGCATAACACAAAATCACTTATCTTCAATATCCATCTCCATCCTGAAAATAGTTAGTTACCAGCCGTGATGTTATAGTTTACCAAATGAAAACAAAGGCAATGTCGAAGCATTTGGGAAGAAAAGTACAAAGTACACTTTTACTTTTCCATGTTCAGAGAAAACGGAACATATAAAAGAACAAACCATGACTTGCTCAAAAGCGTTACGGGAGAAAACATCTTCTCCATATTCCAGTCAAAGTCCAGAAACAGGCTGGAGTCGGATTATAGCAGAGCTGCACAATGAGCAAAACATCCAGGGATCTAAAGAGGTGAGCTAAATTTGCCAACATTAATGTGCAAGATGGTTCCTGGTTCAAATTTTGTTTGGAGTTTGCAGATGTTGGCTCTCTCTGGGTTCCCCCACCATCCAAAAACTCGTATGTTAGGTTGATGTCTGTCTTTCTAAAATGATCCCAAGAGTCAGTGACTGTGCATGGTTGTTTTTCTTGTTTCTCTCCAAATGGCCCTGAAATGAACTGCTAACCTGTCAACTGAGTAACTCACCCCTCGCCCAATGACAGCTGAGATAAACTCCAGAAATATACGTAAAAACCCTAAATTACTACTGTTTATTCACCCTGATTCATCTTGAATAGTGATACTTTGAGGACATTTTGGTAATTATCCCAAGGGAAGTCCCAGTACAAATGTGTGACTACGTTTCTGTGGCTCCAATCAATCACGGCAGAAACAAAACTGGACTGGGCAGAATGTGAGGCTTAACCAGATAATAAGTTGTAGAGCCCGTTTGGCCGTCTCTCACTCTTCTTTCAACAATAACCACCTTCACAGAAGTCACTTCCCACACGTAAACCTCCTCCACTCAGACTCTGAACACACTGTTGACTTGTTTCCTGCTTAAATGGTGCCTAAAACGTTGGAAAGTTGAGATAGTAAGGCATTTGTTTGGAAGCACAGTCACATAAGTAGATCCAAACAAAGTAGCTTTTTTCTCATCTGATCACAGCTGAGCAGCAGAAAAAGTTTATTTCTCCATTCTGTGACATCCCCTCAAATTAGTACAGAGATTAAAAATAGAAAAGGAGCTTTAAATCACACAAACTCTTCCACTTCTGCACGCAGCATAAGTGTTTCTCTGTTATAATTGCAGTTTAAATGCATATGTCAATATTTCTGAGTCTTAAAATAGAGTAAAGCATCCATGGTTGAACTGGAATGCTGTGTATTTTGTTCGCCAGCATTCCTCAAACAGCTAACTAACGCTGTCAGGGCCTCAAACTTGCTTGTAAGGTGTCAATTCTAATGAGGAAAGATGTGGCTGGCACATTGGTAATGAGGCAAATCAGCTGCAGAGAATATGCATGGGCAAAGAGGGCGTCATGTTCTATGTTTTAGGTTTAGTGATTTAGGTTTTGTGTTCCTGTGCTTTTAGTTTGGTGCCTCTAAGTACTTCACTTCCTCAAGGTCCCTCCATTTTCCCATTATCGCTCAACTCCCCGCACCTGCATTTCTCAGTCACCTCTTTTCATTTCTCTGATCACACACCCCTCTATAAAAGCTTCTCAATCATGTCACTCCTGGCCAGATCCTTTCTGTTATATCATCCAGCTTAATTGTGTTTTTTTTTCATTTTGTGGACATGTTTGTGGTACATGTTCTGCACAGGAAATTATGCTGTCTTCTTGTTCTTGTATTCTACCTCCTTGCAATTGGTTAAAAAAAACCGTTTAGCTTTTTAAATGATCAGCCCCTAAAGTGACAAAAAAAATCCAAATGTGTGGCTGTGCATGGACAGGGCTCGGTTCTTTCTTACATGCCAACTTTAACACAAAACTCTCACATTCGGTAGAATCTTGACTTAACAACTCCCATAATGATTGTTGTTAACAATAATAATGTCCTCTTTGATCAGTCTGACTGGTCAGTGCCATCCACAGCTCAGGGCAAAGACATTACCAGTGTTATGAAGCAAAACACACAGACACAAACACTCCGGAAGAATCCCAGAATCCCATCACACCTGGACAAAGCTCAGACGTTCTCCCCTCTGAGTGTGTGTGGGAGGATGGGCAGATCAGCACAAGTGCTGGAGGAGCTGTGGGGCAGAATGCGGGCCTGCTGCGCCCTCAGTGCCTCGGACTGTTTTCACTGTAATCAGTGGGAAACTGTATGATACCATCTATCTCCAGTCTCAGCAAAACTCTGTAACCCACCACTGCATGTATGGTATCCCTCCATTAAAATGGAGCAATAGCAGGGTTAACAAGTCTGTGCTACGCAGGCTGTGCTCCCTGTTCACGGTTGATGTCCCAGCACTGTGTCATCTTTCATACACGCCTGTTTATCCAGCAACAGCTGGATTTAAAATGAGGTCCTATGCACAAACGGTGCAATAAGCAGACCTCAGAACAGTTACGACCACTCTCAGCTCTAACGTGTGCTTACACGCTGGACAAATGGGGGAGGATTTGCATCTCATTTTCATCCCATTTAGTTGCCTGGAGTAAGACAGGAAGGCGTTAACTGCCTTCTAGGATGTGGGAGGTAACGGAGAAGGGATGGAAGGGGGAGGAAGAGGGGGGTGGACTGACAGAGGGGGAGAGAAAGGCTGACATGAAAACTGTTAGAAACTACAAGCTGACAGTACCAAGGAAATTCAGTATCAGTCAAGCAGATCCAGGAGTGGGGCCGTCTGTTTAAAAAAAAATTAAGTTAGAGACACAAAACTGCCTAAATGAGATGGAAAAAATGTTTAAAATAAAATAAAAACAAATAATGGTGCACAGCAATCTAAATGACATGCAAATGACATGCAAAGCAAAAAAACCTATCTGGCTCAAAAAAGAGTTACAGAAGGAGATTAGGGATCTGAATATGTGATTACTGCAAACTCTTAAAAACACTACACAAACACAAATCTTATCAGTTCAGACAGTTTTTGTGATGGGGGGATAGCTTTTAAACACTTCTCCCCCCCATCAGTGCTGCTTCAGAATTCACCTGTGAGCCTATTTACAGATCTGTTTGTAACAGAAATTCTTAAAGCTGATTTTGTTTTGTTTGTTTTTCTTCAAGAAAATTTTTAAAAAGTTATGATAGTCATCCTTAACACATGGGTAATAATTCTGAGCTCTGAATTTATTTAGTTTTTGCTTAAAATTGAAGAATTTGGGAAACCAACAGGTCTTTTTTCCAGTTTTATCTTGACTCGATCTGTCCACCACTTCTTTTTGTTTGTTTTCCCTATGTATGCTCTGTTGAGTCAGCATCTTCACATTCTCAATCTCCCGTTTCTCTTTCTCTGGCACACAATAACACACATATCCTTCCCTCCATCACTGTATTATCCCATGTCCTCAGTGCAAACACAAACAAGCTCCAGGAAAAGCAGGTGTACCTCCACTGGGATAAATCAACACTCAACCAGGATCCAAGAGGAGGGTTTCTCTGCTCGTTGGCTTGTTTGATGGGTGGGGGCCCTGCTGCCAGTTTCTACTTGTGTGAGGAGAAACTTTGAATATAGCTGATAGCATCTTTTAATCCTCCAAAGCTGTTTGTTTTCATTGAATGTTACCTTTCATCTCATCTCAGTTTGTTTTACAGACAGATCACAGTTCAATGCGAGGAATTATGGAGTCATTTCATATCCCGGGCTGCTAACTGCTTGAATTTGTTAGTCAGATTGCTGCCCCGGTTGCTGGAGGCATGCCTCTGTTCGTTGTCTCAGGATGTTGTGCATTTGTCAGTTACCTTGAAAGATGCTCACCTTTCACAACCCCGGCTTTGCTTTCGTGCTAATGCATCACTTCATGTCACTCTCTTCATAAGTTGGACGTTTTCAGGAACAGTTTGCCTGCAGCTGTGCAGCCTGATGGTAATCTGTGCTTCATGAGACCGTAAAGAGCAGAGAGAGGGGAAAGACGAATGGTTTTGAGACCTGAATTTGCATTATTCAGTTTTCCCATGCTTTTTGGAGATCTACTGTATTCAAGCATGTCTGATTTTGACTTTTTACAGGCATCATGCTAATAACATGTTATCAAACAACGTGGTTTTCAGGGTCTGGCACATAAAGCTTTGTCTCATAAAATGTGGGAACGTTTACTCCTCCTTTTAGCCCTGAAAGCTTTAGAATAACGGACATGTTAATTGGCCCTCTACTCAAACATAAAAGCAAAGATAACCATAGATTACGATAAATACATAAATGGTCTCCCCCAAGGTTAGTCTCCTGAACCACAATGCAAACTTCCTCTTTATTCTACACTTCTTTTCACATTGCTTCCCCTACAACTGTTTGGATGCAACAGCTGCACAACTGCATAAGTGTCCTTTATCTGTGCAACTAAAAATTCAAATTAATCACAGCAATCTCTGGCCTCAACGATAGAGAAATTCAAAATATTTTCAAATTTGAGTGGGGAAAATAATGAGATTCCATCGTGTGTATTCATCAGCCATTGCATGCCCAGAGAGGAGCACACATAGATACATCTTCCATCCTTTTTAAATAATTTAATACTCCCCCTTATCTATATCGTTGGGACTTTCTTAACCCCAAATTCAGCCCAAAAGGATTCATCGTTGAGTTTCTCCCCGGTTTAAGGCATATGCCATCAGTTGAGCCTATCACAGCCCCAATCGGGATAATTGACAGCGAGTCCCCGCCCCCAGCTCACCTGTAATCCAATCCACGGCCTCGGCACAGGTAAAACCGGCCTGAATTTTAAAGCATTACCCAAAAAAGCGAGAAAAGCCGACAAAACCCGTTCTCTCAGTCGGGGACACCTTGTTTGTTGCCACGGCCCTCATCCAGCGGTAGCAGCAGAGTTTTCCACGGTAAAGAAGACGGGTCGGATTTTCAGAACCAACTAGAAAGTCCAGTTCGACCGACCGAGATGTCACAGGAGCATGACAAGTAAGTTGTCTTGACTCTCCACTTACAGCTTCGCGCGACGACCACGTTTACTATAAGCTTATAATATTTTTCGTTGTATTATTTCGCCGCCTTTTAATTTTCTTTTTTGCCTGCTCACTTTTTTTCTCCCCTCTCATCTCATGTCACGCGCGGATTTTTTAAAAGGTCACGCTGCTGTTCATCTCTGAGCAACGGCTCCTGTCAGAAATTTTATTTAACATTTGTTCTGATAGTTGTGTCCCATTTAAGCCGCATGTTAGGATAGTATCAGCCTCTTTTCCCCCCCGTCTCTCTGATGGGTAAATTTTCCCAGACGCTCCCTGCCAAGCGGGAAGGTCTAGCTTCCCATGGTGTAACTCCGCTCGCTTCACCTGTCATGTTCCAGCCTGTACAGGTGTTTCTCAGGTGTTTCTCAGGTGTTTCTCCACCTGCCGTGCGAGCGGAGGCGCCCGTTGAGAGGAGGCCAGCCTCTCGGCTCTTTTCAGTTCCTCGTGCGTTTTTCTCTGTTTTGTTGATGGTCTCCGTCCTGTTTGCTCGGGGAATAAATGCGAATGATTAGTGAACCGTCAGCCGAGCAAACTGCGCCTGCAGGTGTTTTGGCTGTTTCTTCCCTCTGCTTCAGTCAGTGGGATTTCTTTTTTTTTAAATTAATCTTTTATATGTATATTTAAAAAATCATTTAAAAAATGTTTTGTTTTTCGTTCGGCATATTTGCCCTCGTAACTGTATTTTGAGGAGAGTGAAATCGTACACCTGCTAGGCGTTGGCCCGACTACCAACACAGACAATGTAAGCAAGCACCGCACTGTCCGAGGTTGTAGTGGCTTTTACGCTTAGTGGGTAAAAAAGTTTTTTTTGTTTTGGTTTTTAGGCGTCGAGCGCTTACAATAAAATGCTAAATTATCTGACCAGAAAAACGTACATTTTTGTGCGTGAGGTCGAGGAAATTAAAACTGGACTGAGTTTTAGCAGCGTTGATGACTTCTACAACTATAAAAAATCATTTTTATTTGTCCTAAAATCAATAAAGCCCTTTTTTTGTAGCAGTGCGTTGTAATACCACTGTATTGTTGCTACAAAGTAATGCATCCTTCCAGCTGCTTTCACAAATGGCACAATTACATATAGGATTACTAATTATTACTTTGACAAGAGGGCAGAGAGGAGAAAAGCTCTATTTGTTGTAGATACTTGACATGGAAACTGGACAAGGTTTCTTAACAGGTAATAATAACTTAAACACCTCCAGGTATACAAAGACCATGGGTAAACATCTAAATTTACTGTAAACAGAAAAAGCTGGAGGACAAATTCTAGATCCTTTTCCATTCAGTCATTCCATTGAAGAGGTTTGAAAGAAATACTTTACAGAAAACTATAAAAGAAGCAATTTGTACTTGATGAGCGTGTTAATTTTTGCGTTAGGAGTCCCCCACCTCAGTGGCTTTACAAAGCCGTGACCCTAGAGGCCTCACAAGATGGAGGCAGAAGCAAACGATGCGGGTGGCGACTGTTTCGTCAGAGCACATGATTATTTTTCACAAACAGGTTTTCTTAAAAATAACAGCAGCTAGGTGCCGTTGGAACCCAGGAATGCGGCAGGTTAAGGTGCGTCACTGGCGGTCATCTCCTCAGCCAATGAGAGATCCTCAAATCAGAGTCACCACACTGGACGAGCCTGTAGCGCATCTTTTTGTCGTGGCGCCTTCGCAGTGGGACGGCTGAGATTTGTTGCTCAATCGTCGTGAAGCCTGAACAACAAGTCTTGCAGATAAAGAACTTCTATGCGGTTGATTTATCGCACTTACAACCAGTTTTGTAACAGGGCTGTGATTTTAGCTCTTTGCTTGGGGAACTGACATGGAGTCGCTGTGATAGACGCTTATGGAACAGCCCATAAACCTACACTCTATATCGTCTTTTGTAGATACTTAAGAGTTGTGTGGACGAATAAATAGATTGGTACAAGGTTACTAAACTGATGCTTCCTTTACGCAGTAAGCGAGCGGTCCTAGTTCTCCAGAACAAGTCGGGTTATGGTGGTGGCCAGCGTCGCTCTTTCACCACAGAGGATGAAGCCTGGAAATCGTTTCTGGAGAATCCTCTGACAGCTGCCACCAAAGCCATGATGAGCATTAACGGAGACGAGGACAGCGCTGCAGCTCTCGGCTTCCTCTACGACTACTACGAGGTATCATAAAATGACTGTCTGACCACAGACAAGAAAGTACCCCCCACACACCCCCCACCCACAACTCAAGGTTTTACATTAAGACATTATTTACCCATCTGATCAACAACCATAGTGACACCCAGCCATTAAACAACGTATGTTCGACACAGCCTGTGTCATGTTACTGATCTAGTTGCCCATATAGACAACTGGATGACCCATGCTGTTGGATGTGATGTGGTCAGACGCTAAGCGGCTGTGTTTACCTTCCCTTGCAGGTGCCCAGGGACAAGAGAACAATACACCAGCCCAAGACAGATTCACTGGGCTCTGATGTGGATCCTAACAAAAGGTAAGTGGCAGATCGGTCTTAATCCCACCCTGTCTCTTTAAAGAAAACTAAAAGTAAAGCACAAATAATTTTCAATTAGAAAAGTTCTGTTCTCACCTCACACATTTAGCTTTGTGGGGCTGGCATGGGGGCTTTTCCAATATGCAAATGCTTTTCAGAGTGAACGTGTTCCTCAGCTGAAGCCAGGACAAGCTCAAACAGCTCCAGTTCTATAGTTGAAGCGCGAAAGTCAACCTCATTCAACGTCTTTTTAAAAAAATTGTGATTAAGACCAAAGGTTCCTTTGAATGTGCATTTTTACCTTAGCTTGTTTTAAAAAAGAAACCAGAAACCAGGGCTGTTACAGAAACCGACAGAACCATTTTAGAAAAAAAACACCTATAATTACTTGTGTTAAGTAACAAAAAACAAGAAAAGGACTCAAACTTTATACTTTTCATCATTAACGATAATCTATGCCTCATTTAAAAAAAGTATTTAAGGGAGAGAAAGGGTTGATCATGTTTCTATAAGACAGTGACCTTATGTAAAACGTGCTCTCCCTTCAAACAGGGTTACACACAAGTCTCATACAGTGAAATTCATTAATTCTGCAGATGCTTCTCTCACCAGGGTGGAGAGAAGAAGACAGTTTTTAGACTTCAACTAGTGCACTTTAAAACGAGTGGACAGCTCAGGCTGAGATAAGACAGATTTGTGATCGTGACAACACACAAAAAACTTCTTCTTATGTTATGCATGGACTTGAGCTTCTGATTTCTTTAGTGGTTTCTTTTATGGTATTCTCAATTTAATGTTGAGAATACCATACTGACGGCCCCTCATGAATAATGTTCTATGTCATTCTGTGTTGTTTATTAATGGAAAGAGATGATTAAAAGCCTCCATGTTAATAATACAGAAATCCTTTACTACGAGAGGATGCAAGTGTTTAAGGATTATGTTTTTAAGGATGTTTTTAAGATCATTATTTGTTCGTACTGTAAATTTCTGAGCTCTCTGAGGCACATCCCAGCACTTTCACCCAACTGAGCCACACTGTACCTCTGCTCCTTGCTGCAGGCACCAAATACAGGCCAGGCACTCCTTAGTTCCCCTCCAGGAAGCCGGCATGGACAACAGAATCCAGGTCCTCAAAGCACCTGTCAATATCCTCCAGCTGACCCAGGACAAGAGGGTCCATTTCCCCTCACCAGGTCTGTTTCTATTTAGCAACATAAGCAGACAGAGGGGCTTCAAATAGACAAATGCTGGTTGACGTTTCACTGATTTTTGTTCATCCAGACACAACTGTCACAGTTTCCATCGCTACAGTGCCAAACTATGCGCCAGTCAAGACAGAGGTGCCCACCCACGGCTTCTCTGTGACCGTGCCAAACAACTGCGCCGAGACCGACAACCATGTGAGCGTCTTCGACCGCCAGCTCAGCCACAACATGGTCCAGTTCAGCCCCAGCACTCAGGCCCGTACGCCCCCTGACTCCACCTTCTCTGAGAGTTTCAAGGATGGTTCCCAGGAGGTGAGTGTTTCGATTCCCCCTTTTTCAAACCTCTGCTAATGCTCTCCCTACAACCCCCCGCCCCTCCTCCTCCTCATCCCTCTCCTTTACTTTTCTCTCCTCGCTCAGATCTCTCCCATCAAACAATAGGATATTCACCTGATCCCATGGAGCCAGCGGTGGGCTCAGCCTTCCCTGGTTTTATTTGAACATGCCAAAATAGTGGCCAGTGTGTTATTATGCCATTGTCTCACCAACACAATAAAGTGCTGTACTTTTCTCGTACAATAGTCAAAGCCTTTTCTCTATCCTCTTTCTCTTTTTAACCTGGAGGGGAATTACCTCACAAAACCCCTGAGCAGGACAAGAGGGATAGGGGGTGGCATCAGAGCCAATTTTAGCGAGAATCAAAATGTGGATGAAGGGGAAGAACCTATCAATAATAACTGAAGAAACGGTTATAAACGGTTAAATACGAGCCAGTAGACTGAACACATTCGAAATGGTTTTTGAAATAATGATTTCATTCCGTCAAATGTGTCTATCCACTTTGCCCAGTGTTTTAATTCACACACTCCCTATCCGTTCTGTTTTTGTGTCGCAGGTGTTTTCCCTCCCAGGAGATCTCCAGTTACGCATGGCCCCCATGACGCCCGAGGACTACACTCAGTTTGACACCGTGCCGGGGTAAGTCGCGCCGCCGTCGACCCACTGCCGCACCGTCATTCGACCCTTAACACCAAGCATCAGAATGGCCCCATTCATCTCAGTCACAGGGGAGACATCAGACTCCCGTCCATTAAAAACACAACAGTTTGCACACACCAGATTTCCCTGAACCATTTGATTTTGACCAGATCCTCTAATTTCTCCCTCTGTGTTAGAAATAACTTTGAGTACACTCTTGAGGCATCAAAGTCCTTGCGGCAGAAGACAGGCGACGGGACGATGACCTACCTCAACAAGGGACAGTTTTACCCCATCACTCTCCGGGAGGTTGACAACAAAGGGATGCAGCAACCTATCACTAAAGTCAGGGTAAGAGAGATGACCAAAATACCTAATTTTTGTGCCCACACATCATCACAATGTAAGACTTTTAAGATTATAAGAGTGTGCCTGTGCTTGTCCGCCTGCCAGAGTGTGGTAATGGTGGTGTTTGGAGAGGAGAAGTGCAGAGATGACCAGCTGAAACATTGGAAGTACTGGCACTCCAGACAGCACACAGCTAAACAACGCTGTCTTGACATTGGTAAGATCCAAAGCCAAAGTTTTTGGACATATTGTGCTGTTATTTGGAAATGTTTAAGGTTTGCCAGAGTGAAGCTTTATTCAATTTTTTAATGTAAAATGTATAGATAGATAGATAGATAGATAGATAGATAGATAGATAGATAGATAGATA